GGCCGTTTTCTTCGTTGGGTCACTGAAATAGGAGTCAGCGCTCCCTGAGGAAACTGTGTGGCAGAGATTCGGCTTTAGGTCAAATTCGCCCGGCGGTGAGGGCGGGAAGGGGCGTGGTAAATTTGAAAACGCCGGTTGGTTTGAAGGCTTTTGTTATAATCGTCTGTGCAGGGCCTCAAATTTCCTCCCGAGACTTTTAAGCCTCTCACACGCGGTAATGACCTCAGGTCTCCTCACCCGAGGGTCCCGTGAGCAGCCGCAGCTGCGCACGCACAGACGAGGTTTTAAAAACGAGGTTTTATTGAAACACTTCGACTAACGGTTCTCAGATCACAGCTGCTCTTTTAGAGAGCTATTCAAAACACCCAAACTCTAGCACAACGAGAGAATCGGGGTGAGCCCTTGGAGCTGACTTTATTTGAACAGAAGTGAGGCTGAAAATAAAGTATCGAGTTTTTCAGCCTGATTGGATGGATGACAGTTGGTTTCCCTGCACTTCTTCCTTTCTCTCCCCTCTGGTGCAACCAGTATTTAAATAAAGAGACATAGAGATACCAAGTCACTTCTCGAGGACCTAAGTTGTATTCCTTTTTAATAGATTTGCTTACATGTACTGTCAGATTAAAACACAAAGCCTACCACTTCCTTAGACTGAAATAATACTTCCTTTTGAGCTTATTTTTCTTGCTTCAAGCACCGCTCAGATAATGTAATTTAACTTCTTGTCTAGTGTAGCCCTGGATTTTCTTCTTTGTAAAATGCAAAGAAAGCCTTTCCTTCACTATGTTGTAGTAGCAGCTGAGCTTCACTGGAAAAGAAAGTATTCTAATCTAGGCACAAAGAAACGCAGTAAAAATGTGCTAGTGATACAAAGCCTTTTCTCTCTCTGATTAGAAAGGAAGCTGGCAGTTCTACTCAAAAGTTAATGAATAAGCCCAGGAAAAGAAGATCAACATCATTAGCCATCAGGGAAATGCAGATCAAAACCACAATGAGATACCACTTCATACCCATTAGGATTGCTAAATTAAAAAAAGACAGACGAGTATTGAGGATGTGGAGAAACTGGAACCTTAGTACATTGCTGGTGGGACTGTAAAATGGGGCAGCTGCTTTGGAAAACAGTCTGGCGCTCTTCAAAATGTTAAACATAGAGTTACCATATGACCCAGCGATTACACTTATAGTTATAAACCCAAGAGAAAGGAAAACACATGTCTATACACACAAAAAAAGCCCTAAATGTGCAAGTTCGTAGCAGCATATTCATAATACCTAAAAAGTGGAAACAACTTGAATGTCCATTATTTGAGGAATGGATAAATAACCATATTGGCCAAAATAGGAATGAAGTACTGGCACATGCTACAGTAAGGATGAACCTTGAAAACGATACTAAGTGAAAAAAGCCCGTCATAAAAGACCACATACTGTATGATTCCATACATATGAAATGTCCAAAATAGGTAAATCCACAGATACAGAAAGAGAGCAGCTGTTGCCTAGAGTTGAGAGGGTTAGGGAGAAATAAAGTGACTCCTAATGGGCACAAGAGTTTCTTTTTGGGGTGATGAAAATGTTCTAAAATTGACTGTGGTGATGGTTGCACAACTGTAAATATAATAAAAACTACTGAATTCTACAATTTGATTGAATTGTATGATATGGGAATTATATCTCATAAAGCTGTTATAGTAATGATAATAGATATTGAGAAACTCACACAGAAAAAAGAGTTAATGCAGCTGAAGGGTGGCCAGAGAAAAACAATTAGAACAATAAAACAATCAAGGGTAAGGAGAAATTTAAGTATTGGAGACCATTTAAAAACTGTTCTTGAGTAAGACTTGTCTTATTTTGTGCCCAGCAAACAAATATTTGGGTGAATTCTTCTGGAAGACTGGGAAGGAATATGATATTGAAGAAAAAAAAAAAAGAGTAAATAGAATACAGATGAGTTCAGGCTCTAAATACTTGAAACTGGGACCTCCTGAAGCTTGAGAGGCATGTTGTGCTTAAACATCATACTTTTTCAATAATAGAGATGCATTATGTTATCAACTTTTTTCTTTGTTTCAAATATTATATAATAACATCTTTTTTCAGTACTAATTATGTACTAATTGCGCCAATTGTGGTTCAGGAAAATTTGGTCTGTTTGTTCATGTAGTCAACAGCGGAATACTCTGTATTTCAGCGTCAAAAAGTTTTACCATGACACATGGGATAATTTATTGCAGCTCAACTACTTGCTTAGGCTATAATGGGGCTGTTCTCTGAGTTTGTTTTTTTAATCTCTCAAAAAAATTCTTTCATTGAATTCACGACGTGCTATAAGTCAATGAAATAATGTCAAAACCTCTCTCAAATGCAAGAAGCAGCAAAAGTTTCATTTCAAATTTTTTTAAGTTACTGAATAATCTGTTTCTTTCAACATCATGTGTACTCATAAGACAAGAGGGTAGAAAGCTGGCTATTTTTATTCTAACAATGGACTCTCTCAATAATACATCATGGAAAACCACATGAACCTTTTGCAAAGTTGGTTAACAACTTCCTATACTAAGCCATTTCTTGGAAAATTTCAAACATATATGAAGCAAATAAAATGGAGTAATGGACTCCTCTGTATCGATGACCAGTTTTAACGGTTCTCTGTATTGTCATTCTAGTCTCATCTCCAGCACTTGCATCTCTCCACCCACTCCCACCCACCCCCCATCTGAGTTAAGATGCATCATTAGATTAGTACATGACTGGTTGCCTAGCTATGAGCCAAATGAAAGTATCTGAGAACGGGATCTGGTTTGCTATGTTGTGTTTATTCTTGGTCATCTTCGCAAATATAACTATTTTACCCAGAGTAATCCATCTTTTCTGTGGCCATTGCTTAAATTTTGTAACTTAAAAGACCAAACTGGATCACCCTCATTTAACGTGAGTTTGCAAATGCCAAGGTTGTAGACAGGTCATAAAATCTCATTGGTAGAATGAAATAGCATGTCTTCATGAGAATGCATAAGCCAGGTCTTATCTGAATTCCAGCTGTCTGATTTCCGTAACAGTAAAAAAAGGTTTCAACAATACTTACTGTGCTCTAGAGAGCCCTTGGTTCCACAGAATCAGTTTGTTTTGGACTCAGAATCTTTTTAGAATTCTCCTGGTAAATTACTTTGCTGACTTGAATATATAACCCTCTTCTGCCTTAAGTGTCTCCATCTGTAAAATGGACATAATGATTATTAACTGGAAGCTTTGGCTTACACTTTGCTAAATAGTTGAAGAATCCTGATGCTGAAAGTGAAAAAGAAACAGAACTTTAAACTAGTTTCCAGAGAATAAAGCAAATAATGTAGGGCCATTTTCTATTTCTCTTAAATAAGATGGAGCACTTTACCGGCTGCCCCCTTCCCCCACCATGATCTTCCTTACTTAGGCAGAAAGGGGACGGGATTTTCTTTCAAGCCTTGGGAAACTGAGCCACAGAAGTGAGCTCTCTTGCCTGAGGCTTATGAAGCAGTGATGAAAGTCAGAACAGCTGCCAAGGCTCCTATCCCAAGCCCAATATATGCTCACCTATATTACTATTCTTCTAATAAAGAGACAGACCTTGCAAAACAAGTTAATTCTTGTACATTACACCTGCATTCACCTATAACTTCTTTATGGGTACTATAACATTATATAGATGGGGCAACAATTCACCTACCACCGAAAGATGGAGTCAGTACAATTTCCCACTGGTACTGATATTTCATATCATTTGATATATATTAAGCACCCGCTATGCACCAGGCACTGGAAAGAGGGGCATAGCCCTTCTCTTCATGGAGCTTAAATGGCCATGATAAAAGAAAAATGTCAGAAGTGGTGTACTGGTTTCCTGCAGCTGCCATATCAAAAAACCACAAACTTGGTGTCTTAAAACAACAGAATGGACATCTCAAGGGTTAACGTTGTGAACTTTAATAACAATAGTACCTGAGACAATGTTTATAGATTTTCTCAGAATAGTATTTCCTGATCTGACCATCGACTCTGTACTCTTGCTAAACTCACACACACTTATAGAACCTTACTTCAAGTTTATAATTTTAAGGAACTCCAAATCGAAGGTTTCTGCTTTCATAGATTTTTTTAAAAATGTTATTATTAAGTGCTTTTGTAGATGTTTGTTAAACCTCATACAGCAGTTATTAGCATATGGGATCAAGTGAAATAAAACTAAATGCTATTGTACCAAGTCAGTAATAAACAGAGCAGAAAATAAAAGTGCTCTGTCTCCCCAGGGCTTTGTCCAGGTTCTACATCTGTGCTGGCAACAAGAAACTTGTCTATCTTAAAATTCAAGGATTAAAAAAAAAAAAAGAAAGAAAAAAAGAAAGAAATCAAGGATTAAGCATCCCATCCCCAATCGCAATTGTTAAAGTCAAAATAGAGCATTGTAATTCTCCATTTATTCAAAGGCCCTTCGAATTCTACTAACTTTGAATTTCATACTGTAGTGAATCAAATTTTAAAACATATTTATTTCAAGTCAAGTTGCCAAGTATATATAATAATATCACATCAGCTACAGAAATGTGAAAATATGACATTTCAAACTGGAGTGTTTTCTAACAACACTGAGCAACTCTCCAATTCTCAGTGGATCCCGACTGGGTGTCGACAAATTTAACTTAGTTCTGACACTATCTATCTGGAAATAGCATCAGATCCCACAGGTTAAGGACACAGTCCCATAAGACTGACCCCGTTTCAGATGCCAGTTGCAAGTCCAGGTTGTCATTTGCATTTCTGACCAAGTGGCTATAACTAAGGTTCCCATGATCCCCTCAGCTGGTCTAATAATTTGGCAGAATGGCTCAAAGGCTCAGGGAAACATTTATTTACATTTATCAGTGTATTATAAAGGATAAAGGATACAGGTGAACATCTGACGAAGAGGGTGAGGCCTAGAAGGGTCCCGAGCGTAGGAGCGTCTGTCCCTGTGGAACTGAGGTGTGCCACCCTCCCAGCATGTGTTCACCAAGCCCAGAATCCCATCAAATCGTATTCAAGAAATTTTATAGAACTTAATCTCCAGCCTCACCCACCTTCCCAGAGGTTGGTAGATGGGGCTAAAAATTCCAACCCTCTAATCACTTTGGTCTTTCTGGTGACCAGCTCCATCTTAAGTCATTCTATGTTACCTCATTACTGTAAACTCAGGTGTGCCTAAAAGGGGCTCCTTGTGAACAACAAAATACACCCTCATCACTAAGGAAATTCCAAGGGTTTTAAGGGCTCTGTGCCAGGAACCTGGAGACAAAGACCAAATATATTTCTCATTATATCACACAGACATTCACTGATAGACATCACTGATAGGCCTCAGTTATCACACTCAGCATTTGCTTCTGGCCTAACAATGTATGAAAAGTAAATCACGACAACTTTCCCCATCCCCTTGAGAAGCGCTGGCAGGATCAAGAAGGCAATAAATGGCACTAAGCCTCCTCCCAAAGGTCATAATAAACACAATTATTAACTCTCTAATTGTGTGCGGTGCTATGCCATGCTAAATGATTCACAGAGAGAATTAGCTAAACTTTGCCTCTTCTAACAGTTTACAGTCCAAGGCAGACTGGCTGACGCTCATTCACATTTACAGACCAGCTGGACACTGGAATACAAACATTAAGTCAACTCATAAATGAACAAGGCAAATGTTCAGAGATGGAAATATTCCGATGGTTGAGATAAGAGGAGTTGTCCTAAAACATTCCAGTTTCAGGCTATGCAAGATAAAAAGCTTACTATTTTTCTCTCTTCATCACCACATTCATTTACAATAATCATATAAGAATATATAGGTGCCTCAAAATTGTTCCTTAAAATGTCAATCTTTTGTCCATCCTCATTCTAAAACTCTAACACCTTCTAAGGTCATGATGCTTGTAGTAATTGTGTATAGATCACAATTTTCAAATGATATTCCCAGACACACATCCGACTGTCTTTGCTAAAATAAAATAGCCTTTTCTTTTGAGCACTGGAAGATTTTTTTGTTTCAATCGACTCAATTCTATTTGATTCTTATCTTTTCTAATTCAAGGCCACTTTTCATTTAGAATAGCCTCTTTTGTTTGAATGGTTAATTATTTCATCATTTGATGCTTGAAAAAATACTTTCTTGGGAAGTAAGACAAATCCCACTTCACAGGGAGGAAGGATGGATTTAAGAGAGGAATGTTATATTATTTGAGATTTGGCATCTTGTTCAATGAGCCACGACTGAAGAAATATGGGCATGACCAACGTTTGAAACAGTTGTGCTTGATTTTAAATTACTTATGATCTAGTGTATTGTCTGGCTATATGAAGATACAGAAAGAAAGCAGCCATCTGCAAGCCAGGAAGAGAGCTGTCACTAGAAACCTTGATCTTGCACCTTGATCTTAGACTTGCCGGTGTCCAGAACTGTAAGAAAATAAATTTCTGTTGTTTAAGCCGCCAAGTCTACGGTCTTTTGTTATGGCAGCTAGAGCTGACTAATACAGCATGTAAGGAGAAGATTGATATTCTTCTCAAATCTTCTCACCCAGAAGACAAATGCTGTTAACACCATTTCCTTCCAGATCTTCTTTTTCTTTCTCATCCAACATCTCTGTAGTCTTGTATACTTGTCCTCTCATGCTTCCCCCTTCTTCCCAAATTAGTTTTACTGGACATAAAATGTTCTCCCTGATCAAATTCATCTAAATCTGTCTACACTTGAGGCTTTTTTTGTCTGGATTCTGTCAGCATGAGGTTGGAAGAGATGTTAGAAATCTTCTTGTTCAATTCCTACGAGAGCATAAACCCACACTAGTATTTTTTGATATAAAATAAAATTGCAACAATTTGCATCGATTGAGAAAATGCCTCTCTGAATTAGTGAGAAGTCTGAATTATGATAATTTTGAAAGACACATGATTTTAGCACATTCGAGTAAGTGCAATAACTCTGAATAGGCCAAACAAAATTTAGGGAAATTGAAATTCTTGGAAATTTGATTTTATGACTAGATAAATATAATTTCCCCTGCATTCAATAGCAAGTTTATGTCTGTATAGTGCTTTATCATTTTCAAAACACTTTGCCTTTATTATTTATTTTGATCCTCAGCCTCAGAAGTAGGAGAGACTGCTATTACAGTTTCTATTTTAGAGGTAACAGGAAAACTAGTGGCTGACTTGGAATAGGTAAAAAGAAAATCACCCGCCTTACCAGTTTTTTTTAATGCAATGATAGTAACTGCTAACATTTGTTATAGTTTACCAAGTCCCAGGCACTAGTCTAAGGACTTATCATCTATCTTCTTATTTAATGCTTATAATAACCCCTGAGGTTTGTACTATTTTTATTTCCATTTTATAAACAAGAAAATTGAGGCATAGAGGGAGGATTAAGTAACTTGCCCAAAGTCCCATGATGGTCAGTGGTAGGGCTGGGTTCAAATCCAGGCAGTCTGATTCTAGGGCCCATGCCTCTAAACCATGATCTTAACAGCAGTAAGCTCACTATGGATATTTCTGAAGGGCAGAGGCGTTATGTTTCAAATCGGTTAGGAGGTACGTACTGTGGACTGGTATACATGGTTCATTTACTTAGAATTGTTTGCCATGCAATGAGTGAAGACTCCTCAGAGCTGATTGTCCAAATAAAAGCAGGATTCATGGACTCTTGGTTAATGACATGTAACTGTACTCCATTTTTCGTACAGAGGGTTCTGCATTAGATCATTTGCACTCGTGTGACAATACTGTTTCCCCAAGCAGATCGCTGGTATTGAGGTGTAGATCTTGATCTCTGGTTTCTTGCTACCCAATAAAATACTGTGTTTGAAACTGGTTTTTGTCCCATTGGCTGAGGTAAGGAAATGTAAGGATTAGGAAATAAGGCCTCTGGGCCCTATTCTGCCACCAAAGAGCTGAATGACCTCGAGGCCTCAGTTTCCTCAACCTATAGACCTCAAATTAATTTTATCACCAGCAAGTAGCTTTCACTAGAAGATGCAGATGTCCTTATTTTTTTTTGTGGGAATATTCACATAACATAAAATTCACCATGTTAACCATTTCAAATTATACAGTTCAGTGGCATTTAGTACATTCACAATTTTGGGCAACCATCGCCATTATCTAGTTCCAGAACACTTTCATCTGGATGGGAAATAACCGGAGGAGCTAAAATC